TTCCATAAATAAAAAAGTTGGCACTGCGCATGCGCAAAACCAAATTTTGAAATTGGCGTTTGATTTTCCTTTATTCCAAGTGCCTATGTATCAAATTTCATTCAAATACTTTTATAAGTAAAAAAGTTTGCAATTCGGCTTATAAATGGTCGAGATGCGAAAAGGGCACTGTGAATTTTGAATCGATTCGATTCAACTTTTGGCATTGCGTATTATATGGCTAAATCTATGCCCATATTGAATTTCATGCAATTCAGTTCATAACTAACGGAGATGTAAAAGCGATCGAACATTTCTAAACAAAGTTATCGTTCACACGGACAGATAGATGGACAGACAGACAAAGGAACAGACGGACAGACCAACCGGCAGGCGACAGATAGCAATGCAAAATTATAAACGATCTCTAGGATCGTTAATAAACGGCAAAAGTGTAAAATTATGGAACATGTAAAAAACGGTTTTTTGTTTTTTTTACAATAACTTTTTTTGTAAGCGGTACAGAAAAAATTCCTTCCTTGGTACAAGACTCGACACCATAACGAACCAAATAGCGAAAAAAGTAGAACAATAGCTCTTAAGATAAAAAACTAGTAGCGTCGCAAAGTTAGCGGACGGACGGACGGACGGACGGACGGACAAAGTGGCCACAATAGCGCATTTTTTTTTTATTTTTGTGGAAATGCGCTAAAAACAAGTATAAATTGTGATAAAGCGAATTTTTTTAAACCGAAATACCGTTTGTTTTGACATCACCAATGGATATATTTCCTGCAGACGTCTCAATCGTCCTTTGTGAGTACCCTCTTCCGACAATCCGTTCTTGAGGTATAAGGGAATATACCCGATCACAATAAGAGGTCGAGGAAGAGGGCTATGGTTGGTAGAAATTAATTCCTTTCGTTGAGACCTTTCATTAGAGTACCATGAAGGATAAAATAGTTCCACTCCCCACCCTCCCCCTCCACCCTCGTACTTTGATAAGAGGACAGAAAGAAGGGCAGTAGTTGGTAGAAAACGGTCCCTTTCGTTGAGACCTTTAATTAGAATAGGTACCTACAATGAGAGATAAAATTAATTTTTAACCCCCCCCTCCCCTACTGATCTCAAAAAAGAGTCGCACGGGAAAATAGAACATGTGTTTACCTCCCTCCCTCTCTCATATTCTAAAGTTTAATTTGGCACCACTAAAAGCATGCGTACGCAAAATCTGAGATCAATTGGTTATCGTATGTAAACGTTATGCACGTTTTACTTTCAAAAACAGCATCTTAGGAAATAATTCGTGGGGGGGGGGCCTTTTAGACAGCGAAATTTGTTGGCCATTCCCCTAGAAGTAGTTCGAAACGGCAGAAGTGGGTCCGGACGGACGGAAATAAAAACTCTGCTATTGTGACCAACGTCTGTCCGTCCGTCTATCTGCCCGTTCTACTTTTTCGCTATTTGGTTCGTTCAAACATTATAGTATGTTCTTTGGTTCGTTATGGTGTCGAGGCTTGCACCAAGGAAAGAAATTTTTCTGTGCCGTTCAAGAAAAAAGTTGGGGCAAAAAATCTGTTTGATGCATGTATCATAATTTCACACTTTTACAGTTTATTGACGATCCTCGACATCCTTTATTATGTTGTATCGCCGTCTGCCCATCTGTCTGTCTCCGTTTGTCTGTCCGCCTGTCTGTCCGCCCGTCTGTCCGTTCGGGTGCAGTTGTGCATGATAACTAATACCGAATCAAAAAATTTGTTTTGCGCATGCGCAATTCAATTTTTTTTAAATTTGTGAAGATATTTAAATGAAATTTTGTATGTAGGCGCCTCCCATAAAGGCAAAACTAATGCCGAATCAAAAAATTTGTTTTGCGCATGCGCAATTCGATTTTTTTTAATTTGTGAAGATATTTAAATGAAATTTTGTATGTAGGCGCCTCCCATAAAGGCAAAACTAATGCCAAATCAAAAAAATTTGTTTTGCGCATGCGCAATTCGATTTTTTTAAATTTGTGAAGATATTTAAATGAAATTTTGTATGTAGGCGCCTCCCATAAAGGCAAAACTAATGCCAAATCAAAAAAATTTGTTTTGCGCATGCGCAATTTAATTTTTTTTAATTTGTGAAGATATTTAAATGAAATTTTGTATGTAGGCGGCTCCCATAAAGGTAAAACTAGTGCCAAATCACAAAATTTGTTTTGCGTGCGCGCAATTCAATTTTTTTAAATTTGTGAAGATACTAAAATGAAAGTTTGTATGTAGGCGCCTCCCATAAAGGCAAAACTAATGCCGAATCAAAAAATTTCTTTTGCGCATGCGCAATTCGATTTTTTTTAATTTGTGAAGATATTTAAATGAAATGTTGTATGTAGGCGCCCTCCATAAAGGTAAAACTAATGCCGAACCAAAAAATTTGTTTTGCGCATGCGCAATTCCATTTTTTTTAATTTGTGAAGATATTTAAATGAAATTTTGTATGTAGGCGCCCTCCATAAAGGTAAAACTAATGCCGAACCAAAAAATTTGTTTTGCGCATGCGCAATTCGATTTTTTTTAATTTGTGAAGATATTTAAATGAAATTTTGTATGTAGGCGCCCTCCATAAAGGTAAAACTAATGCCGAACCAAAAAATTTGTTTTGCGCATGCGCAATTCGATTTTTTTTAATTTGTGAAGATATTTAAATGAAATTTTGTATGTAGGCGCCCTCCATAAAGGTAAAACTAATGCCGAACCAAAAAATTTGTTTTGCGCATGCGCAATTCCATTTTTTTTAATTTGTGAAGATATTTAAATGAAATTTTGTATGTAGGCGCCTCCCATAAAGGCAAACTAATGCCGAATCAAAAAATTTCTTTTGCGCATGCGCAATTCGATTTTTTTTTATTTGTGAAGATATTTAAATGAACCCAGCCCCACATTCGTTATTTAAAACTAATTTTTAGCGCATTTCTTAAGAATTAAAAAAAAATGTACTATTGTTTGCGTTTTGTCCGTTCGTCTGCCCGTCCGTCCGTCCGTACCCACTTCTACCGTTTTGAACTACTTCTAGGGGAATGGTCCTAGAGTCCTAGAATTTTGCAGTAGGTAGCCTATACCTTGAAGGTGTGCCAGACGACCATCAAATTTCGGGGAGAGGGGTGGAACTACTTTTATCCTTCATGGTACTCTAATAAAAGGTCTCAATTATACGAACGAAAGGAACTAATTTATTTCTACCAACCATAGCCCTCCCCCCTCTTATCGTGATCGGCGTGTTTTCCCTTATAGGTAGGTACCTCAAGAACGGATTGTGGAGAAAGTACGCACAAAGGGCGATTGAGATGTCTGCAAGAAATATATCCAATGGTGAAAAGCTATTTCCGATCAAAAAATGCGCTTTATCTGCACAAGAGTTCTCGTTCTAAAATTTTATTAATTGTAGTCGGATTTTAGGTAGCATTTTACAAATGAAAAATGAATGCAGTGGAAATGCACTTTTTGTAAATCGATTACGAGTACTTTTTTAAATTGTTTTTTAGTAAGAATAATTAGGAGCAATCGCTCTCTGCATTCTCTTAATACAAATTTCCCGAGTTGCTGTCGAGTCACCTTTGGAATTTTTGTTTACATGGGAAATCGTACTTAACTTGAGCTTCCAAAGGCGACTCGATAGCAACTCATTTTTGACCGCCCCTTATGTGTTACACGCTAGAAAAATTTCCAAATTTTTCTGATAATGTATTAGGAGAATAGAGCTCATCAATCCTCCTGATACAAATTCCTGGAAATTTTGGGGAAGGTCAATTTTGAACCTCCCCCCTTGAGGCTAGAAGCATATAAACCGTCATTCATTATGTTCCCCTGATAGACAAAGTTTGCAAATTTTTACAGTCTTCCTTGTACAAAAGAAAATTTGTGGACTGCTACTGGGATCTCTCCGCTCACTCCAGATACAAACGTTACCCCAAATTTTGTAGTTGATGTTTTATGTATCAGGAGGACAGATGATGGTATAATATCTCATCCTTTATCATGTTTTCCTGGTACCCATAAAAAAATTACAGCATTTTTGTAATGGATACCGAATTTGTAACACCAATTACAGAAACGCGATGTAAGTGTAACACGACTTCGAAAAGGAATCCGCGGTCATTAAAGATAATTGTTTCAATTCTTACCTCATTCTCATCGAAACGTAACGGGCGTAGGCAAACATTTCCTTTTCGTTTTCAATTGCAATTAACATCAGACATTTTGTTCGTTCTCGTCAGCGTAAAACGTGTTAATGACGAACTTGCGACCACACATTTGTCTGCGGCGCTACACGTCATCATGTGCTCGTATATGCAAATGGTTCAACCGAATAACCTTCTTCTTGGGTTTTGATACAATGGGTGAATAATCTGTTACTGCAATTAACATTTAGCCGAGGAATACCACTCACTATCTGTTTCCTTAAAAGACAAAGATCACGGTCAATAGTACCTAGACCAGTTTTGCGACTTAGTCATTCATGGACGAGCCTTGTATCATTTTTGAGGATGGCCGATTAATCAATAATGAGGAAATTGTTATGCAAACATATCTCGTAATTTATTAATCTTAAAGGAAAGTGTGTAAGAAAAGTTGCACTTTCACTCGAAGATATCGAATTCTCGTCGCGCCTTTACAAAAAAAAACAATCTGCAGAGATTCGTTTCTTTAATTAGTAATTAGGATTACACTCCACCTTCAGCTAGGCTTGTTGCGCTATTGTTATATAAGACAGGTCGCAATTTGGTCACAATTTGGTCATTTGGAGATTAAGCGGATTATGTAACGTGCGTGTGCCAATGAAGAAGAAATTTTTAACACGGCAAAAGTATGAGTGATAGACTGGGAAAGCGTGGTAACTAAAATAATCGCTAAAAGGAATGCAATGGAATGCAACGTTTATATTGAAAGTCACTTTATGGGAAGTTGAACTAGATCAGCACTAGACCATACTTTCACTGTCTTGTGAAATTGCCTTAATTAAATTACTTCTTCCAGGTGCCTCCATGGTCGTGGTTGTGCCTGACAACTGTGATTATCTGGCATGTAGAATTAAGTAAGTATCCCTCCCAACGCCAAAACTCCGCGCTTCACCCCCAAAAACTCTCTTTGAGGTCACCAAGAAACCCGAGTCGTCTGCTACTACACAAACTGGTCCGTCTACAGGCCGGGAACGGCGAAGTTCAACCCACAGAACATAAATCCCTACTTATGCACGCACTTAGTCTACGCCTTCGGCGGTTTTACCAAAGAGAATAACTTTAAGCCCTTCGACAAGTATCAGGATATCGAAAAAGGCGGCTACGCGAAGTTTACCGGCCTGAAGACCTACAACAAAAACCTAAAGACGATGCTCGCCGTCGGCGGCTGGAACGAGGGCTCGTCGCGCTTCTCCCCGTTGGTCGCGAGCGCCGAACGGCGCAGGGAGTTCATAAAAAATTCCATCAAATTCCTACGCCAAAATCACTTCGACGGACTCGACCTCGACTGGGAGTATCCCAGCTTTAGGGACGGCGGAAAACCGCGGGACAAGGACAATTACGCCACCCTAGTTCAGGTAACCCGACGCTCACCGCCCGCCGTTTACCATTTTTGACCAACAGGAGCTGAGAGAGGAGTACGACAGGGAATCGGAAAAAACTGGAAGACCACGACTGCTTTTGACGATGGCGGTACCGGCCGGAATCGAATACATTAATAAAGGCTACGACGTACCTCGCCTAATGAAGTAGGTCATTCGTAAGGGAGATCATTTCTGATGAGCATCTTTTCTAGGTATCTGGATTGGATGAACATTCTCAGTTACGACTACCACTCGGCGTTCGAGCCCGCAGTCAACCACCACTCGCCATTGTTTTCATTGGAGGAGGAATCCGAGTACAACTACGATTCCGATCTGAATATAGTAAGGGCTTAGTGTATCGGCTCAGCTTACCAGCATTGCATGTTGCAGAACCACACCATAAACCATTACTTGGAGGCCGGCGCCGAAGAAAGTAAGCTGGTGCTGGGAATCCCAACGTACGGAAGATCGTACACTTTATTTAATTCGGACGCGAATGAATTAGGATCACCAGCCGATGGACCTGGTGAGATGGGCGACGCTACCCGTGAAAACGGTTACCTGGCCTACTACGAGGTACTTTCCACCGAACTTCTCAGTGATCAAACCTTCACGTTGTAGATTTGCGAAAAACTCAAAGACGACGGCTGGACGGTGGAGTATCCCAATCCGAAAGCAATGGGTCCGTACGCGTACAAAGAGAACCAATGGGTCGGGTACGACGACGAGGGCATCGTGAGGAAAAAGGCGGAGTTTGTGGTCGAACGAAAACTGGGAGGTATAATGTTTTGGTCCATTGACAACGACGACTTTAGGGGAACGTGCCACGGAAAACCCTATCCGTTAATTGAAGCGGCTAAGGACTCTCTCATGTCGGCGTCGGAGTATAACAAAATTAAAGTTGAACCCATACAGTCGACCAAGCTCAAAACGCGCCCTCGACCTAGACCAAACCGAAAGGAGGAGGAGAAGACGACCACAACCACCGAGAGACATAGGCCGATTAGAAAGAGACTGCGGTTAGTAATTGAGCGCTTGGCGTTTTCTCTATTCCACATTTTCCAGGTCCAAACCGCAAAGTACCACTGCAAGCCCCACGACCAGCAGCCCTACCCTGACAAAGTATCAAACGCCAGAACCACCCACCACCCCCGATCCAGGAAGCGGTAATCGCCTTTGTGCTGCTTTCAGCATAACCGGCCGTGTCTTTCAGATTTTAAATGCGAAGACGAAGGCTTTTTCCCGCATCCTCGCGATTGCAAGAAGTACTTCTGGTGCCTCAGCAGTGGACCTTCAGAGCTTGGAATCGTGGCGCATCAGTTCACTTGTCCCTCGGGGCTGTTCTTTAATAAAGCCGCTGACTCGTGCGATTACACCCAAAACGTACGATGCGTCAAGCCGAAGTCGACGACGACCACAAGCACATCAACGACGACGACAAGCACGCCATCGACCACGCGTCGCCTAACAACGTCGAGGACCACCACGACCTCCACTACAACGCCCCAAGCTGAGGTACTTACCCCTACAATTGGTGAAGCCTGACGACATTTTTCTAGGAATACGAGTACGTGTACGACGACGAAGATGTTAACGACAAGGACTCGGAGGAGGACCCCAGAGTGATCAAAGAGCTGATCGATTTAATTAAGAAAGCTGGCGGTATAGAAGAACTAGAAAAACAGTTGGATATCCACAAAAACGGAAGCGCGAGTACGAACCCGGGATCCACCACCCCGTCGGGTTTCAGCAAGGTCCTGTACGAGCGGGTACTTAAAAATACAGCCGGAAAAACCGAACGACCCAAAACGACGGCCCAACACTCAGCGTAAGTACACCCACCGTCCAGGTCACCCTCAAACTAGCTGACCTACTTTAGTAACAGTCGCGGGCCTCAATTCGAAGGACCTAGAGAAGGCGTCCTCGCGAAAGGACGAGCCAGACCGCAATACACCGCAATTAACAGATTTAGGTAAGCTCACCTCTTGGTTTTTTATCGATTATTGATTGGGATGCAGATCGACGACGGCAAGGGATGAATCGGAAGAGGACGTCGAAGCTCACAAAACGGAATTGAGCACAACCAGCGGCAGAAAGTCTAATCTACCCGAGTACATGACTATAATACGACAACGGGCGTCTACCACTCTCATACCGGTGGTCGAAAAGTAAGGCGAAATGGTACAAAAACTTGAATCACGCACTTATTTTGCAGGCTTGAATCGGAGGAAGATGAAACGGCAACTGAAAGGAAAAAAATCACGCCCTTAGTCCCCGAGTACGTGACTCTCAGAAGATTTCGACCAACGACTGAAGATATTGGGTGAGCCTCGTGCACTGTTATTTCCGCAGAACTTTAAAATGAGGAAAAACTAATTTTTACATGTACTCCTTGGCATAGAAACGCTTTCGAAGTGCACAATAACTCCTTTTCTTTAGCGTGTGTTAGATTCACTCCAAAATGTTAGTTCATTTAACTGTAGATGCACGGAACTCGCGTTCAAATTTGCGTTCTGATAAAAATATCCGCAATAACCACTTTTTTGACGCGAGAATTCTATGAACGAATTTAATTTTTGACTACCTAATCCAGATCCGAATTAATATGAATCTCAATTAAATATTTACGTACTGCACAATCTCGTAGCCCAGAAACGAATGCTTCCCCAAAAATCCCGGAATAATCCCTACTATCTTTTGCAACTAATTAACACCTTTTTCAAGATGCGTCCATTAATTGTTCAGCAGATTCCAAACAAAATGCAGTAGAATTGGTAGAATATCGAGGCTTCTTTAATTCAGTTCCAATTTTAATATTTTTCTATTGTCAAAGATTACAAGTCAACGACTACTATTGCTATAACAACCAACACAATTTTTACAACTACTATGATGAGGCCTAGCACGCTTCGCTGCGCTATCTTGTGCATTTCACAGTACTCTCAACATTAATTACTCCTTGATCCTGCAGGGATCTTTTGAACAAACCGGAACGTTCTCCTGCTATCGCAGTCACTAATTCCGGCGGTAGTCCCTCGTGCGTGATAGTATTTTTGGGTATTGTGCGTTCAGCTATTTATATAAAATTGAAAACGGAACCACCTAAACTGTCCTGCCGTCATTTTTAGCCAATAAGAAAACCGCATGTTTTTTTCTATGCAAATTTCGGATTTAAACCTCCTACGGTGATCGCTGAGGGAATCATTCCAGTTTTGGATGTTCAGAGCTAGTTTTTACTGGCGTAACTGATTTTTATTTTATAGACTGCTCTGCTCTCATGAAGATGGCACTATCGCCTTCGTTTAGGGCAGCCAGGTCCAAGGTCGCCACCATTTCATCCTCATTTTATGTCGCTATTGATATTTGATTTCACATTAATTTCAGGGTACCTACTGAAGAAACGTCGACCAAAGCGGACAACATAAATAACTACATCGACAATGCGAAGAATGATGAAGAGAAGTCCGAGGCTCGCATTGAAAGCTCAACTCGCAGATATGCGATTACAACCGAGCCTTCGTCGCCAACAACGAAGGTGAGTGATCCTGTTCCTTCTAAAGCCATACTGAAGCCGAGACCCTTCCAAAAACCCGACACTATCCACACTAATCGATACCACACGCCGCCGAGGCGCACGACGACGACGACGACCGCCAAGGTTGAGGAGGCAACGACACCGGATGATTACGACGACAACGACAAGACGAACCAGTTGCCTAAGCGTCGTGGTTCCACCCGATTCGAGTACCCCGAGCCGCAAAATGATCAGAGGATTTACCAAGATCGCAAGTTCCGACCCGACATCGCACTGGAAATTTCCGATCTCTCTTCGTTGACTTCCGTCGACTTTTCCAAACCGTTGAACGTGACGGGTGGAAGGAGGCGGGTACCTCCACGTCGAGGCAATCCCGACGGTAATGCGATTGATGCGATCAGCACGACACAGTCTTCCATTGTACTGGCGCCTAGGTTTCAAAATCCCACTCGTAGTAGTACTACGACAACCGTCTCACTGTTGACTGAACCTAATAGCACACAGGGATATGAAAACCAATCTACCAGGACGACGAGTTTCTTTAGTAGACGGACTGAATCCTCAAAAAATGATGTCAGCCAAGCTACGCCAGCGTTCAGGTTAAGAAGTACTACACCAGTAACGGTCCTAAACGAAACGGCGGCAGTAAACCGATTCAGCCGCAAACCATTCCGTCGCACCACCACAACCGAACCACCCGTAGCGGTGAGCACAACCACAGAATCAAGGCGGAGGCCAACTCGGAAGATAATCAGACGTTACAGACCGACAAGTACAACGCAATCACCTCCTAGTCCCTCAAACGAAAAGCCAAACGTAACCGAAAGGGACAACTCAATAAGTACCACGCAACAATCTCCTAGTCCCTCAAACGAAATTCTTAGCACAACCGAAAGAGGCAGCTCAATAAGTACCACGCAAAAACCTCCTACTCCCTTAAACGAAATTCCTAGCGCAACCGAAAGGGACAACTCAATAGGGGACGATGACGAAGAAGAGGAAAACATAAAGCTCTCTGAGACGACCATAAAAGAAAGGAGCGAGCGCATCAATTCCCTCCAAAACGACCGATTCGAAGGTAAGCAAATATTCTCGGGCCTAGGCAAAACCTCATACCAGGAGAAGGGAGAGATAAACAACGAGGATTACTCGCTGATGACAAACATCGTTCGTTTGATAACGGAACCGTCGCAGTCCACGACGCCACCTGAAGCTCGTACAAGAAAAATAGTGCGCAAACTGGGCCTGGCTTCCACTACTCTCTCGGATAATTACACTCCGGTGGTACAAGAGGCGACGACCGAAGCGGTGACGGATGAGATCTCAACAGATGAGGTGCGGTTGACGACGGTTCAGGAAGTTGAACCGGCTACTAGCAAACTCCCGGCGAAGCCGTTCCCCCACAAGTCGAAATTTAGCCGCCCGCCGTTTTTACTTCAGCGAACGAGAGCAAGCACGGAGGCACCCGCGAGTTCCTCGACCAAGCGGAGCGGATTCAGAGCACGTTACGACCGAAAAAGACCTACGTCACTAGAGCCGGTTGTCATCACGCCAGATGTTACGACTGAAATCGCCAAAGCGACTAGGGAGGAGGCGTTCAGATCGCGTTATGAGCGGAAAAGGCCGAGTACGACCGAGGAAGTTACTAAAAGCACAACGACGGAGATGACCACGTCAGTTGAGGATGATGTACGATTGACTACAACCGAGGTAACCACGAATAGCGCAACAATGGAGATATCGACTCAACCTGAATTATTTGGGGAGGATGTTGTAGACGGGTACAGTTCGCATTATGAACCTACGGTGGAGACGACGAGCACAACACTGGAGGGCTCGACCTATAAATCAATTTGGGATGAAGTGGACACTGTGGAGGACAAGACGAGAAGTACTCCCATGGAGGGTACAAGTACAGAAGGTTTCGCCAGCATCTTTACAACCGATGATGTCAGTAGTACGACCACCGAACCCAGTACCAGTAGGGCATCATCGCCGAGCACAACCCGAAAATTCAGGAAGCGTCGGCCAACCAAATCGCGAATTTCGTTATCTAGGAACATTGATTCTTCTCATCAAACCCTTAATAGTGCTGATGACGTAGGAAAAACGTACAAATCAAAGCTGAATTTAAATCGGAACGTACAAGAAGTAACCACAACTGAGCCCGTGGCAACCGCTACGCTACTGCATGTATTTGCAGAAGCGGAAACCTCGTCGACGACCGAGGCAAGGCGCACAGACAAGATCGAAAAGCTGATCGAAATCAATCGCATCGTCGAGGTCTCGCTAAAGGAAGGCAAACTAAAGAATCGCACCGTAAGCGAGAACGAAGTGACACTCCTACCGACAATGGACCGAGTCGGCGCGATCAATCGCGTCACCAACATAAAAATAGTCGACTCCCTCAACTCACCCCCGCTCGTCGAAAGCAAATCGATAGTCAACACGTTCACGCCGAGACCGCACCACGACCCGGAATCGTCGACGATCGCCTTGGAGGGACTCTTCCAATTCAAAAACGAACAAGCCAATGACGAGCTCTTGGAAACCGAACACGCCCGATACGTCAACGTGAGAGTTCGGCCGCATGACGAGTACACAACCTCGAAAGCCGAAGTAGTCGAAATTACCCCGAAAGCGCGCGGAGATCTGATACGCATCGCCCCGATCGCCATCTCCCTTAAAACCCTTCTGGAACGAGGGATTGACAATGTCGCCTTGCCAAATAATTAATTTCTGTTTCGGTATCTTTTTTTAGGCGGAATGCTTGAATGAGTGCAACTGTAAATACTATTTATGTCTGCACATGTATTATATTACGCACTAGTGTTTGGGTCTTCCAGTTCGTGCCATATGAGTGTGATGTTAGCCGAAAACGGACTGTTGTAGATGTACGGTCAGTGGTTTTGTTGTATTATGTAGTTAAAATATATGTTTAAATGTTTCTCTTCTTTATTTTTTACTTTCAAAGCCTCTTGTGCATCAAAGTGAAGTTGGCAGCGGGTAGGTAAAGTGCTATTTTTAATCGCTTAGCTCAGGCATCATCCTAACACCATTCGCACCTCACGTTTAACTCCGAGCCAATTTCTAATAGAAGTCAAAGTAATTGTGGATGCATTCCAGGCGCCGACTTCCAGACGAATTTTGTACAGAAGACGAAGTAGCCCGACCACTTCACCCACCGTGAAACCCACGCGCACCATTAGCCGGCGCAGAGTCAGCACAACGCAGGCGCAAGGTACACTGCACTTGCACAAGCGCACTAATTTTTCATCCCAATTTTAGAGCGAAGACGATTACCCACAAGGTTTCCACCCAGACAATCGACGACAGCAAAGTACCACAACGACCTGGACAATACGACAAAATTAACCGATCTCGCTTTCGCACTAAACGAACTGCAACACGCCTCGGTACCATTTAGAAACCCAAACAAAACTCATGGTACGAACTCTAAACGTTCTAACACTTTTCCGGACATGGTTTAACACCTTCTTCTTCTCTTCCTCTTCAGCTCGGACGTAACCTATTACAATTTTCAGTTGTAAAAACGCAGTTCAGCGCGACACCCACACCCATTTTACCGTCGACTTACACATCAACAGCACTCATAATCAAACAAGAGCCGCGACCGTTTCAGAAAAAGTCACAAAACTACAAACACCTAGTGCCGGTTAGCACAAACGACGACTATTACGACGTTCTGCCAGTCTACAGCAAGGCTTTGATCGACAGTCACGGTTACGTGCGGTGCTTCGATCGGGGTAGCTTTCCGCATCCCGCCTCCTGCAGACGCTTCATTTACTGCGCGAAGATCGATAGCGGCCATATCGTCGGCTGGGAGTACACGTGCCCGAAAAATTTAAGCTTCGACCCGGTGGGCGGCATTTGCAACTGGGCGACCGAGCTCGGTTGCGCCAGCTAAGTGAACACCGCCAACGTGCGTGCTCGTCAAAGCCAGTAATTAGTTTTAGGTTTGTGTATTTCAAGCGCTTGTTAATAAATGTTATTTGTTGTTTTTTTAAGTTATTAAAGTGTAAAATTTTCTGCGATCCGACTAATGAAGTTAAAGAGTATAAATTAACATCGGAGTTACTACTACGCAAAATTATCAACTCGCGGCATCTACAACGCAAAAATTAAAAGGAAAACGATTCCTGTATAGTACCTTAGGTTTCTCTCTGCAGATTCGGTCTACATACATAGAAATTTTCTCGATAAATGTCCCTGGCGAAACTGTTTACCACGTATTGCCTGTACAAAGCTGTCGAATTACTTAAAACTTACAATTGGTTGATGGTCTTGTGGGTAATAATACCTATCTTCTGATCTTTTCGTCAACCGGAAATGCTTTCTACATGTGGTCGTATAGTGAAGACTAACTCCTTTATGAAGTAAATGTGAACATTGCGCAGAATGGCTCGAAAGCTGTTTTCCGATCAAGGATGCTGCTTTTCTATTGCAAGTCGTGCTCTCATATAGTTTGTAGTTAGTAAGATAAGAACCTCCCGTCTCTCTAAGATTTTAAATGAATGTATGGCCTTACCTTTGCCCTATTATTTAAAATACGTGTGGCTATAGACCTATAGTCCGTCTCACCTTGACTTTACAGTAGATTCTCAAGATTCTGAAGAATTTAAAACATCCGAAGAATCTAAAAAATTTGAAAAATCCAAATGTGAACAACGTGTAGAATGTAACGAATTCGAAACATTGGTTGGGAATCTACAATCCGTGGAATAGGTGGGCTTTCGGAAGGCTATACGAAGAATCTTAAAGACTGAATATTTTCTAAGAAAATTCAAAGATGATTCTAAGGTCTTAAAAGATATTTCATGAAGACTATATGAATGTTCTAAGACTATTCTAAGAGGACTTTTAAATAAGATTCTACTAATTTGTAAAGGACTGTAATGGTTCTGAAGGTTCTTAATATTCTCAAAATATTGTAACAAACCGCCCCTCAAAAATAGTAATAAGATTCGAAGATGTCCTCGAAGACTTTGAGACGATTGTAGGGATTCGAATAGGTTGTGAAGATGATAAGTCTCTCAGAGCTGGGTCTAGCGTTCTAAAACACCGCTCGAGCGACGAGCGCTCTAATTATCTCAAAAGTGCTCGCGAGCATCGAGCTGTTTTGCAAAGCTTCTAACTTCTAAAAGTGCTCGAGCGGTTTGTCGCGAGCGCTCGGGAAACGTGCTCGTGATCGGAATAAATGCTCACAAGCGAAAAACGCGCTCGAGAGCGGAAAAAACGATCGCGCGAGCGCCGAGCAGGAAGATAACTAGCGAGCGGCGCTTAACCCTTCAGCGCTTGAGGGCGGTTAAAAGCGCGAGTAAAAAAAATGAAAATGAACTCCGGTGAGACTCGATGCTGAAGGAACATTGTCTCCCAAGTATACCAGTTTGACTCCAATCTTTATTTAGGAAAAAAAAGATCAAATCAATCCGGCATACAACAGGGTCCCTTCTAGGACACGCCCTTTTCGCCATCACTATCCAACAAATCGTGGTCTCTTTGAAAACTGAACTAAATACTTGGTACAAGGATGATAGGACCGTCGCTGATTATCCAGAAGTTGTCCTACAAACACTCCAGAAAGTTTCTTGGGACACAAGTCGTCATGGTCTTCGATTCAACTTGAAGAAATGTGAGGTCGCTGCAGTGGCGCAACTAGCCTCCGTGAACAGGCAGGTGCTGGATTGGTGAAAAAAGCTCCACTCATTACCACTTACATTTGAACGTGCGGGCGTCCCTCAGGAGTCAGGACAAGATCGAGAATATTCTGTTCTAGACAGGTTGTTAAAATCAGTAAGATCATATACAATGGTAAGATAATTTGGAAGGTTTAATGTTGAGTGGTTCCACCCTGTATATACAACTTACGACGATACATACATTTTTGAGAGTTGGCAACCCTGCAATTTCTATTTGGGGAAAAGCTGCCTGCGCCACTGTTGTATACTTGCCTGTAGTACGGGTGAACAATAATTATAGGCCCCGATATACACAATTAATATTTACTATAATGACAATGGTTCAATACACTGACAAGTTTTTATATCTCCTGTTGCTATCCAACACCCCCTTTTCTTAGAAAAGCACATAGTCGCTGAGATACCCTGGTGCTTCACGAATTCTAGTTGGTCTGGGTACAGTGGCTACTGGACGTGGCATGATAATAGAAGGGTTAACATTTTCAGAAACATCCCTAATTGGTGATACTGGTGTAAGAAATGTTTCTTGTTCTGGTTCGGATATATTATCGAATTCCTCGAGTAGAATATCCAATGGAAGTTTGGAGTGAACGTCATCTGGTGGGCTATCTTTTGTCGATGATCGATGAATTAGTTGATTTGTATGAACCCGGACTTGTGGTTGATTCCATTCACCATCAAGCGAGACGTTGTACAAAACGGAACCGATCTGTTCAACGATCGTACCTGGATACCATCTCCAATGATTACCAATATGACGTTTCACATATACAAATTCACCTTTAACGAATGAGCGCGATTTAGCTCCATGTCGCTTGTTAAATTGCCTTTCTTGTTCAATCTTATGTTGATCCTTTATACCACATGTGTTTGAGTATTTCATGAGGTCCAATATGTTCCTTGGTTTTCGTCCCAACATAAGTTCGGCGGGCGATTTTCCATCGAGTGTTTTATTTGGAATGTAGCGGTAAGTGGTTAAGAAGGTGTTTAAAGCATTTATGACCCCCTCTCCATCATTAATACGTTTGATCGCTCTTTTAAAAGTATCTACGAATCTCTCAGCCTGACCGTTGCATTGTGGATGATAAGCAGGTGTCTTTATGTGTTCAATGCCATGTAATTTGCAAAATTCTTGGAACTGATGGCTGCTGAACTGCGATCCGTTATCTGAAACGACCGTTTTTGGTATTCCAAATCTCGAAAATGCATCTTTCATACATGCAATAGTACTTGTAGTAGTGGAATTTGAAGGAATGAATATTTCAGGCCATTTACTTTTAGCGTCCACGATGAGAAAGAAAATTTTGTCATGCAGTGGTCCTGCATAATCTATATGTATACGTTCCCATACATTTTGTGGAACAGGCCATGATTTGAGATTAGTCTTATGAGGTAATGTACGGGTCTCCATGCACTTAGTACATTCTTTAACTAACCTCTCTATATCCTTATCAATTCCTGGATAATAAACGTAACTGCGGGCTAGTGCTTTGGATCGTTCTATTCCTGGATGACCCTTGTGAATGTGTTTCAAGACTCTGGTCCTGAGTGAAGTAGGAATCACCACTCTTTCTCCAAGCATTAAGGTGTTACGAACTACGGATAATTCGTCTCTCCTATTAAAAAATGGTAGAAGGTCAGTACTAATTTCCTTCTTGTTAGATGGCCAGCCCGAACTCATGTATTCAATGACTGTCGTGATATTAGAATCATTTTTGGATTCCTGTTCGATTTCATTGAATAACACTGGAAGGTAAGTGACAGTATTCGTCTGAATGCTGTTGATAACGATTTCTGTGTATACTGAAGCGATGACGGAATCTTCTTCAGATCTTGGTTGAGAATCGATGAGTCGTGATAAAAAATCTGCATAGCCAAATGAATCAGTATTAATGTATGTTATGTCGAAATCGTAAAGAAGTAACGTACACGCCCATCTCTGTAATCTATTTGCAGTGTAGATCGGTATACCCTTCTTATTTCCAAAGATATGTAGAAGCGGCTTGTGATCAGTCTCCAATGTGAAATGACGACCAAATATGTATTTGTGAAATTTGGTAACTGCATAAATGAGACCAAGTGCTTCTTTTTCAATTTGGCTGTATTTCTTCTCAGTTTCTGTCAGTGTACGAGAAGAATGAAATATTGCTTTTCGACTCTTGTTGGGGAGTTCGTGCATAATCACAGCACCAATCCCTTGATTGCTGGCATCTGCTGCAACTATTATTGGAAGTAACGGATCATAGTGAGTGAGTAGAAGATCACTCTGTAATACTTCCTTCAGTTTATCGAATGCCGATTGTTGATCCGGAGTCCAATACCATGTAGTGTTCTTCTTGAGTAGAACGTCAAGTGGGCCTCTGAGTTGGCTCAATTAACGTAGCTCACTGATGTTGGTAGGTATAGGCATTCTTCTGATGCAGTCAATATCTTATTGGGGTCTGGTTTCAAACCGTGTTCACTGATAATTTGACCTAGAAATTTTACTTCCGATGTGAACAGTTGACACTTCTGTGTTTGAAGAGTGAATCCATATTGTTGGATTCTGCTCATTATTTTTGTTAGATGATATTTATGGTCAGTAACATTTTTACTGAAGATAATTAAATCGTCTAAATATGATTGGACGAATGGTAAATCACCAATCATTGCGTCAATAATATTTTGAAAAACACCAGGCGCTGTTTTGACTCCAAAAGGTAACCTTTTAAATTTGTATAGGCCGCGATGTGTATTAATGGTAAGAAGTTCTTGCGATTCTTCATCTACAGCCAATTGAAAATACGCTTCCGACAAGTCAATAACGGAGAAATATTTGTTTCCGGTTAATGATGCGAATATGTCTTCTGGAAGTGGCAGTGGATGACTATTAGGTTGGAGTGCTGTATTTAAGCCCGTGGAATAATCTGCACATATTCGGATTTTTCCATTTGATTTGTGTACAACGACAATCGGTGTCGCCCAGAGTGAACCTTTTCAATGATGCTCATTTCTTCTAAACGTTTTAATTCCTGATCTACTAATGGCAATGCTGAATAAGATACAGGTCGTTTAGATATGTAAGTTGGCTTTGTTCCTGGCAGGACATGTAATTTAACTTTGGTTTTTGTGCAGAGGCCAAGCTGCTTTGAAAATACGTCTGGGAACTGTTGAGCCAATATGTTGATATACTCATGAGGAACTTCCTCATCTGTTGTTACCGCACTGCATACAGTATTTAATGGCTGAGACCAGAGATCGAATAAATCCATCCAATCGATACCAAGCAAATTGAGTTCAGGAATAGAAGTGACATAGCATTTGCCTTTCTTTGTGATCTCGTTGAGAGTTATGTCACAATAGAAACTGCCAATTATCTCTAGAGGATCTCCTGATGCATTTTTCGCTTGAAATGACGTGTGTTCAGTTATTGGTACATCAATTTGTTTCCAAATATCTGATGATATAATGGTGATATCTGATGCGGTATCCAATTGAAGCTTCGTCATTTTACCATTAATATGTACGGTAGCATACTTTCTTTTATGTTGGAAATTCACTTTATGAACATTGGGAATGCTTACGTGTTTGGTTTGAGCGACAGATTTGCCTTTCCCTGCTTTGGGATTCGATTTATACCCCTGCTGAGAATTGTTCTGTTTACCGCTCTTGCAATAACCTTCCTTATGGCCTACACCCTTACAATCCGTGCATGTGTGTTTGATAAATTCACACGATTTCACAAAATGCATTCCACCACATTTCCAACATGGATATTTCGGTAAATCCGTCGCAGTTGGTTGCTTATTGTTATTACGTGGATGCGGATGTTTCTTGTATTCTACCTTAGAGACAACTGGATTTTTGTTTTCTACCAGTGCCGTATCTTGTTTCAATGCAATCATCTTCTGGCACTCCTGAACCAAATGATGTAGCTCAATAGGATTTTCGGTAGTGTGAGTATCTAATCTACGTAATAATCTAGCACGGATGTCACTGTCCTTGTGTGATTGAAGTCCTGATATAAAGATTAAACATTTAAATTGTTCGACACCCAGCTCGGAGAAAATGAAGTCTTCTATGTTTCGATTCACTTTCCCTGCATATGTTACAAAATCGTCTGAATCTTTCTTCTTCATTTGAAGACAATTGAAACGTCGGTTGAAAATTGATGTCTGTGGACATAATATCGCCTTGAGTTTCTTCACGGTCTCTTCGAAGTTGAAATCTTTCACTGTACGGGGCAGTATATAGTTGACATATTTTGTATGAGATGGATGATCGAGTTTCCGCAACAGAAGTCTGATTTGTGCATCCTCATTGATTTGAGTCTTGGCTGCGATAAAGGTGTCTTCATATCGATTGTACCACTTGTCAAACGTGTTGTGGTCTTCTGGATCGTATGAAAATTCCTTTATGCTGTTTGCCAAAGCCTCGATGATCAATTCACTACTGTTGGACACTGATGATGGATTGGTAGATACGGTTTCCTTCAATGTGTGCTCCAACAGTTGAAGTCTACGATCTTGTTGATGCAAGAGATCCACTAATGCTTCATAAACTTTTTCCGATGCCATGTTTTCTTTCGTGTAAATTTAATTCGAAAAAAATATCTGCAACTGTAATGCGAAGTGCTACACCAATAATCCTCGTCGCCAATTTGTTGTATACTTGCCTGTAGTACGGGTGAACAATAATTATAGGCTTTGATATACACAATTAATATTTACTATAATGATAATGGTTCAATACACTGACAAGTTTTATATCTGACGTTCCTATTTATCCTGTTGCTATCCAACAGTAACATTCTCACCTATAAAATCAATTCAATACCTAAGTGTTCTAGCGAACCTCTTCATTCTGTGTATCGGTTCGTCATATTTACCTAATGGTAACGGGAATGACCTAAATTCATGATATGAGCGAATCGAACCATTATATAATATTTTTAATACCTGTCTATTAACGGCGTTGCTGCACTGTCGACTTGCCTAAGCGTTTTTAACTTTGATGATATTTACTTCACTTTTAACACAAACTACTTAATCAAAAGGCATTTAACACTGGAAATCTGTCTATAACGAAAATCATTTGACGGATTGATATTATGACAGATCAATTGGTTTATTTGTCACGACTTACGTTAATGACGTAATTTTTTTGTCTCAATCGATTTAAATGTAATGAAGTGAGAATCACATTTATGACGTCAGGTTCAGCACCAGTGAAACAAAGTATATGTACAATTTTTTGAATGCCCGGCGAAAGTTGGGCAATAATTGAAAAACAATAAAATGTTGACTAGGGATGTTACAGCTTTTATTAAAAAAAAATCACTATAAGTACTATGCGATGAAAAATAAGTTGCTGTCGAGTCGCCTTTGGAATTTGTTTACATGGGAAATCGTATTTAACTTGAACTTCCAAGCGACTCTATATCAACTCATTTTTGATCGCCTGGTATTCGTTATGGCTGGCTGGCTGTCCCTCTAAGATCTCAGAAATTTCAATAGCTTTAAATTTTCACTAAAAGCTTTCTGCTATAGTGTAGATGTGCAGCTTCTAGTTTTTGAGTTAGATTACTCGTGAAATCGATAGCTTGTTTTTTGTTAGGCGTTTCTGTTGCCAGGCAACGCTAATAATTTAACGTTCTGATATCATTCATAAAGTGGAAAAAGCAAAACCGCCTTTGTTGGGCTTTCCGGCCAGTAGGTATACATTTTTTTGAAACTTTGAAGGCACCTCTGGCAAAGTGTAAGACCCCACTAAATGATCTGGCTTATTGATTTTTTCGCTCTTTAAATATGAAATTGAAAGAAAAAATTTCGCAATGCCTCCGGAACATTTGGCAAGTTTTAATGATGTAAATACAATGCCAGAAATATGACGGGAGTGCACTGAACAACTCTCCTGATGATGAATCTTAAGAAAGTTATTAAATCCGAAAAACAAATAACTTTAGAATTGAAGAAGTGTACTTCAAAATCGCAATTTCAAATAGCGAATGGCAGGCATGGCCACATTCCGAATGCTTAAATATTGTACGAAAACTGGTATCAAGGATTGCAAATTACGGGTTTAATTCAGAATTGGGAATTCTAAAACAATATTTATGCGGCTCTTCTACTTCTACCCCTTCGTAAAGAATTCTTATTCAATGATTCTCATTGTGGTTGAAGATATGAAAACCAGTGTTTTGCAAATGTTCCAATTGAAATATATAGCTATAGTGAAAAAATCAGAAGAGACTTGGGAGTGGTATTTGATAAAAATAGTTGTTATACTTGTATCACATCCTTAGCTACAGTTTAAACCTATAACTAGGTATCACAGTCGTGAATTTGCTTATCAATATAAATATGGGTAACATTTAATTGCTTATCAATTCGTATATAATCTACAACGCAGTCTAAATGGAAGCCCTGCCATGATTTTGTTGTTAAAAATATCAACAATAAAAAGATAAATACCTAACTAAAACAAATTCATACGTAAGCTAGGTACTATAGATAAAACCTTTGTAATACAATACGTATAGACAACCTTAAAAATATACAATAAACTTAACAAAGTAACTTTACATAAGGTTCATTTGATTCAGAACTGCGTATATTATTATCCAGAGTACAAAAAGAGTTACCATTACGATTAAGGCTATAGTTTTGCACCTGTTCCAGGGGCTGCTTGATAAATTCGGCAGTGGGAATTTGTTTCTTGTCGACTGACAAACTTGGGTGTTACAGGAGGTTGAGGGTTCGTACAATGCGGAATTCCCGTTATTTGGAACGCTCATCGCTTCTGGATTTCTAACAAATCCTAACTCGGTTCCTTCCTCTGAATTTCTGTAGAAGCCGCCATTATCCATCTGGAACAAAATTAGCAAGTAAAGTTTTATTGATATTTGATTATTTCAAAATCCAAATTCGAAAGTGAAATTTCCCAGTTTCGGGATGGTAACATTGAATCCGTTTGGCCTTTTTAGTGCGCTTAATAAATAATTTATCTGTGTAAACTGACTGCATGGAACATATGTTAAGTAGTTTAGGCAAAATAACAACGTGATAACAGACTTCGCAACTTGACCTCACATTCCAAGGAACAAAAAGCGTGCTGGACTGCCGAAATTGTAGATTTCATTCCAACTTTTGGATAAGTACAATTAACCGTAGGTAATTAGTTGAATGTGTTAATCCGTTAGATGTACCAGCTTTAAAAAACTTGAATTTTGACACTGTCCCGTCTGGAAGGACGAATTAAACAAGTTTAATATTTGGATGTAGATAACAGAGATCTTTGTTGCTCACATGGACGGATGACGGACACATGGTCGTATTTGCGCACTTTATTAAGGATCCTCAGATCCTTTATAGTTTTGTATGGTTGTCTGTCCTTTTTTCCACCCGTTGACCTGCGTTTGCTATAACTGTAAGTAGTGTTAGTTAAGATCTCCAGATACTTTTGGTAACTTAATTTTTGTCCGTCCGTCCGCTCGTCCGTGGGCGCTATAACTTTTTTTAAAAATGGCCGATCGTGTTGAAATTTGGTGTACGTGTACTTTGGCTATTAAGTTAGGCCGCTATTGATTTTCCGGAAACTAGTTCAGTAGCATAAAATTCGCATTTCGCAGTTTACGCATATTAGTCGTCAAAATGATACTTGTAGTCCAGGGAATAGAGGGCTTGCAAGATGAGAAGTTCCGATTTATTTTGCATGTCATAGTCATTTGGTGGTTAAGAATCTATAAGTTTTCGACCTTCTCCCCTTGTGCTTCCCCCGTACCACCCCCAAAACCCCTGAAATTTGGTTGGTTTCATATGTTCATTAAATAAGATGTAGAGCTTGAGAGTTGGTTCTATTTTTAAGAATTCTGAAATTTCTGTGTAGATGTTTTAACCCAATTTTATACTTTATAATTTATGTTTTATGAGTTTTAGGAGAAAATGAATGTATTGTGGTATAAATCACCCTACCCTGCACTCTTACGAAAGGGGATACATAATAATTAAACTTGCAACCTTCGCTAGTGAAGATATTTCTTTCGTTTTAAGGGTAGTACGGGGTAGTACCAGATATTCTTCCACGACATGCAAAAAAAATTGGACTACTTCTCGTTTTGCAGGAAATGGTCCATTTTCAGTCTCTATTTCCTGGACTATTATTTAATTTACACATTTTATAAATATATATTATATTAACGCTAGCACCACCAATCATCGATCACTTCCAAGAGCAAGCACGTCTGTTTGTAAAGCATGTATGATAGGATGATTATGTGCGATTTTTTATGGGTTTTTGTGCATTCCCAAACAGATAAATGTTGGTACCTAGTGTATGTAGGTCGTTTCAATTACAAACGACAATAAAAGGCATTGCACAATGTGTTTGCAGTAGTCCCGCAACCCGCAACCGAGCAACGTTAAACACACCTATCGCGAGTTTTATTAACCGTAAACATGCATGAGTGACTACAAGATATTTATTGCACAAGCTTGACATGGTAACAACCCCACGAATATATTAGTTCGCACAAATAATAAAAATAGATAAATTACAATATTACTTTTTTGGTCATCATTTTCCGGTAGCGCTCCGCTCCAAACTAATCCACAAATTTTCGGGCATCAGTTCATGTTTCACATGGTATGCTACGTACTACCGAGTAACGATCACATTTTACTGAATAAAAATTAAATTTAAACTAAGTACACCATTCCCACCACATAATAATGTGGGATTAGAGGTTGAAATACCTTACAGATAAGATATCGTGGTTTCATTCAATCGAATAACAAAGTTAAGTAAACATGTTAACAATATTATTTCGATGCGTTATGTGAGAAAAATTCAAAATTCTCACTGGTGTCAATTGTATATAGAATTGCATCGACACCATTCTGTTA